CATTCTTACGACTGTGCTTTCTGACGCTGTCTCACGGCCTTTCCCCTCCTCTCCTACAGCTACTGTCATGACGGCTTAATGCATCGGCCTGCTGTCAATGGAGAAACGGCTGCTCACAGACATGAGTGACTTCAACCGAAATGTAGCAGAGAAGTTTGCTGAACAGCAAGAGAGAAGAGCCAAGTTTTTTGTTCAAATAGCTCCAGACCTTATTTTTTTGAGAGTGTGTGAACTGATGAGCATGACGGTCATTAGGTTGTATTAGTGTCTCTGTAACCGGCACAGGAAGCTGCTGTCTGGACCACAGTGGTGGAAAACAGTACTTTTATAACTTTGGGATGCTGCAGTATTTACGCTTAAAAATGAGGTCTTCTCATGAAAAACTGAGTGTTTTTCCGCTCACAGAACAAGTCGTGTGTAGAATACATGTAACTGGGTTTAACCTCCAAATCAGACACTAGAACGCCCTCGTTTATTATTTTTAAAGTCATTTTTGGTCACACACCTGTCAGAGCACCACAGCTACCAAGCAGCAGCTACCACAGTCTGCTATGTGGGGCGTTCAGGGAGCATCAGTAAATTATAGCGTCTATCGATAAGAAAATGTTCAGCAAGTCATATGTTTTGTCTTTACCCAGGTGGGAGGTGCTAAACAGTTAGTCTGGAGCCCTGAACAGTGTCGTTTGAATCGTATTTTTTCTGTAAATATTGATGAAAGTTTGATGAATGGTTCTGAAATGTAGTTCTGGTCAGTCTTGATAATGTTAAATTAGATTATGATTAGAAAATCCTCCAAAGGTAGAACATTTGCTTTCCTGTAAGTAGTTGTGTTTGATGTTACTCATATTCTAATTTAAAATAAAAGGTCATTTGCAGACTGCACCCCCCACATCAAAAAGTCTCACCAGCTGTTGATACACCAGACAACAGGACAGCCAACCATTATTTGCTTTTACAGAATTATCTTAAATTAAACTTTTCTGTTGATGCAGCCTCCTCTTTCTATCTGTCTGTCTGAAGCAACGTCTGGCCCTGACTGATCACAACAAACAGCCCATTAACACTGAAGGATGAATGCAGGACAATATCTCTTTTAGCTAAAACACGTAAATTCGTAACAACGATTTGTGTCACCCAAAATCTTCACACTGAGATTTGAATCTTTACTGCAGATTTACTCCAAATACTCGGCCTCAATGATTACTAATAATCAGTAATAATATATCCTGGATATCGCTCAACCCCTAGCGAGCGCAGAGCTTAATTCAGGCTTTAAATAAAGATTATATTCATAAACATCCATCATAGTTTTCCAGACTTCAGTATTACATTTTAATGTTGCTTAATTTCCCTAAACAACACTTATTATTATAAAAGGTATTCACATTGTTATTATGGGAAAAGATAAACCCAGTAAACAGAATATATTTCATGTGTTTGTTTTAAACTATTATTGATTTGCTGTCACTTGATCAACAGGCCTCCAGAGTTGAGATCAATAAGAGAATCCTAACAAATAGTTTACAATCAAAGTGCAAAGACATGATGTTGGAAGAACCTGGGGAATACATGAGCAGTATTTGTACTGCTTTTGCTGGAAACAATCACACACTAGAAGTGATAATAAGTCCTGCTTCTAATAAAGCAACACATGTTTAAGCCCAGCCAGCAGAGTTACTGTAATACTGCTATGTCATTGTAAGCAGCACAGCTAGCTAGCTAACGCATGCTAACGATAGCATGCTAACCAGACTTTCCCGGCAACGAAAGCTGCGAATAAATGATGGATATCCAGTTTGTGTCATCTCCCCAGAGCAGCTAAACTCTAAGTCCTGGGTGTTTTCTTAAAGTCCTTTGTTCAAAGTGAGCCTGGTCAGTGGTGCGGCCCTCGCCGTCGCTTCGCCGAGCTTACCCAGCCATTGTGAACTTCACCACGGCGAGCCTGGAGCCGGCGGCCGCTAGCTCCGGCTGGAAGTCCGGGTCGCTCCCGATCACTTTGACACCGACCATGGTGCAGTTTGCGGCTGTGGAGTGAGCTGGACACCCGGGCGATGTTCGGGGCAGGAAACCGAGCCACCTAATAAAAAATGAAGTGTTTTGTTTTTAGCTTTCTGTCAGTATATTAGCTGACTAGCTGTCCGGCTCTGAGGCACACTACAGTCACTGTGAGCTGCTCCAGGAAGTGGACTCCTGATTGGTCAACACGCAGCAGGAAGGGCGGGGCTTCTCCTTTTCTTCTTCTTCTGTGACTGTTGGCAGAGTCTGGATGCTTCACTGCCGCCACAGGATCGAAGAAGAAGAACCTAAACTATTAATTCTACCAACAGCAACAACAACAACAACAAAACAGTTTCTTTGTGGCAAATTATATTTAATGATCCACAAAATATTAATGACACAATTTTAATAGACAAAACAATATTTCGTGCTTTACACACAGAACTTTTATTAAATTATAATTATTATTATTATAGGAATTAAGAGCAGATAATGACACGTCTTTGGTGTTAATATGAGAAAACCAAGAATAGAGTGCTCGCTTTTCCTAAAAAATTAATTAAACCAACTCAGGAGCTGTACATTTATATGTTTTCCTTTATTTTTAAAAACATTTTTTGTCATAATTTTACGTGTTGCCTTGTTGTTAACACAGGCTGCTCATACCTGCAGTGATCCCCATAAATTCTATTTATGTGTTCATGACAGAAGCAACAGTGACATATTTGATAAGTAGGGTTCCATCTTCAAAGCACCACACGGTGGCGCTGTCAACCTGCTGTTTGATGTTTTTCTATATTAATAGTGTCTCAGTTTCCTTCACATTAATGACACTCGACCTGCGTTCATCTCTCATTGTTATAATCAGGGTTTATTGTTTTCATCTTCATGGTAGACAGTTTGAATGTGAATTTATACAATATTATTAGTAGTTTTATTTAAATTAACACATTTTTAACATGTTAAAATTACCTAACAAATCATTGTTATTGGAGTATTTGAGTGTTAGATGATTAAATTTTGTTCCCAAGCAACATTCAGTTGTTTAATTATTCCCATATTTTATATTATTTTCATTATTATTATTAATATTTTAAGATGTAAAAGATGAAATAATGATCTCGAAGCGATTACTTTTGATTTACTTTATTATTAGGCACACAATGCTCTTTACAAACCATTAACAGTGTAATAAAAACGACCAATGCTTAATTTTATGACACAAAACCTTCAAATAGATTATAAACAGCTTAAATATCTCACCTCTAGTCGTTTGTTTTGCTGCTTTAAAGCATAAAGCATCACATTCTATGACATTAATTAACAATTTCAGTTGTTAAACTAACAGATTTCAGTAACATTTGGGGTCTACTGGCATTAAATCTGATGTGTTTCAGTATTCTCATATTTTAAATTATAATTATTAGAGGTTCAAAAGAAGAAATTAGGTTCTAAATGAAATCACCATTAAAATAAATAAATAAATAAATAAAATTACTTCTTAACCTCATTGTTATAGATTCACTTTAATGTTCTCGTTTATTCCGTTTTCTTTTAACCATTAAAAAAAAAATGGTTTTACTTCCCTTATTTTATTTTATCTTATTCATTTCATTTTAATTTATTCTTTTTCTTTCTGTCCTGTTTCTACATTTGTCTTTCATTCAATGTACTGTAGCAGTTATAAAATCATTTTATTTTAATTAATTGGTGCTTATTGTGTGGATTTATTTATTCTTGAAAACTCTATTATTTATTTTTTTCTCTATTCTATCCTCCTTTTTCTATATTTTCTATCATTAATTTTACTTGTACAGTTTTTAACTCTATTTTTTCACTTTTTATTTTGCCTGACTGCTTTTTTTCTGCATGTATTCTCCTTTTTTGGCCTGTTTGCTATGTATGATATTACATAAATAAAGTTATCACTACTATTAAATTATTGCTATTATTATACATTTCAAGTTTCAAGATAATATTTATTATTTCCTAATTAATCTGGCTTGCAGTCAGCACTACACCACAGTGGTGCACAGTTTCACCACTAAAGCCACAAAATAGGTTAAAAATATGATGATAAAATGGATTAAAAACAAAAATATAATTATCAACTAAAGACAATGAAATATGACAATAGAATAGATTTAAAAATGAAATAATAAAATCATCAACTAAAGACAAAGATAGATGACATCAAATAAAATAGACTGAAAAATAATAAAATCATCATCAATTGAAGACAAAAAAGATGATGAGAAAATAAAATAAAATACATAAAAAATAACAATTATCAAGTAAAGATAAAGAAATATAGAATAAAATAAAAATACATTAAAAAATAAAACAATCATCACCAACTAAAGAAAATCAAATAAAAACGACTAAAAAAAAAAAAAAATCATCAACTAAAGACAAAGAAATGCGATGAAAACAAATAAATAAAATAAAACAGAATAAAATAAATAAATCGATATAAACCCACACAGCCCGTCTGCTCCAGAACAATCTGGGGTATTTTAAAGCTGATCTGCTCTTTCCCGCCCGCTGGACTCAGACCTCCTGCAGCAGATCCGCCTCCAGAGCACCACCTGCTTTAATTAACACTTCAATTACTCACCTTTACCTGCGGCCGCCGTCACGTGACCAGGTCCACTCCCACGGCCTCCCACCCTGGATGCCACGCGTGCTTCCCGGCTGCTGGGCTGTCGGTTGCGCTGGAGGCCGGACGGGTCGGACCGGTCCGGCGGGTCTGAGCGGGGCAGAGCCGGTGAGATCAGCGGCGGGCAGCGGGGCGGGGAGCCGCCGCCGGAGAGTCTCCAGAAGCCGGAAGAGCAGCACGACATGGTGCGGTGACACCGAGCGACGCCCGGAGCAGCTTCACAACGTTCACCTGCGCAAGGTAAGTGGTCCACAGCGCGCATGTAGCCGACAGGAGAGACTTTATGTCTGACTTTGAGCTGTTTTTTGGTGGTTTTCTGCTTTTATTTTTTTTTTTTTTTCACACCTGAGCTGCTCCGGTTCTCACCTGGGCGGCTGCTGCTGCTCACCTGTCCTCCTCAGACTAACACTGCTGGGAGGGTTTTGACAAACTCCTGCTGCTAAAAGCTACGAGGCGCTTCAGAAAAGCCACTTTACGTAGATTTGTGTCCACATTATGGTTCTGTGGGTGTTTTTTTTAAAGTCAGAAAGTCTCATATTTAAGGTTTTAATTGTAAAATCCTTAAAAATGTCCAAAAACTCCAGTTAATTTCTGTGGAAAGTCACCAGAAAGTCACCGAGCTGCTGTTGTTCTACCAGCACCTCCATCATTTTAGCTGTTTTCTGTATTTTTGTGTCTCAGTTTCGTCCATTTCCATCTATTTGTTGTTGCTTTTCATTTCTTTAGAGTGTTTTCTCACTTAATGGCCTTTTTTTTTGTCGGTTTCTGGTAATTTTGTGTCTCATTTTGGTCATTTTCTGTCATTTTGTTATTGTGTTGTGTCTCATTTTTAAAATTTTGTGTCATGTCGTGTCTCATTTTAGTCCCTTTTCTGTCATTTTGTAGTTGTTTTGTGTCTCTGTTTTGTCATTTTCCACGTCTTTTGTTGTTGCTTTCCATTTCTTTGGGATGCTTTGGCACTTTGTGTTCGTTTTGTGTTTAATTTTGGCTGTTTTCTGTCTAATTTTAATCGTTTTCTGTCACTTCTTGTGGTTGTTTTGTTTCTCAGTTTGGTCATCTCCAGTGTCCATGTTGTTATTTTCCATTTCTTGAAGATGTTCTGTCCCTTTGTGGTCACTATCTGTTTATTTGTTGTTGTTTTGTGTCTTATTGTAGTTTTTTTTGTGTGTGTTATTTTCTGGTTGTTTTGTGTCTCAGTTTGGTGGTTGTCTATTTCTTGGAGGTGTTTTATCACTTTGTGCTCATTTTCTGTCTCATTGTTGGTGTTTTGTGTCTAGTTTTAGTCGTCGTCGGTCGTTTTGTGTCTCAGTTTGGTCCTTTTCCACGTCTTTGTTGTCGTTCTCCTTTTTTTTTAAATCTCATTTTGCTCATTTTCTCTCAATCTGTGGCCACTTTGAGTCTCCGTTTTCCACCATTTTCATTTGAATTGTTTCCAGATTTCTACTTTGCCTTGTGTTCTTTTGTTTTGTCCGTCTCAATAGATCCGTAAAGGTCGACTCATGCAGCCTTTCAAAATGATCGTTCAGCTGATTGAACATGTAAACGTGACCTTCGTTCACTAACGAGTCATGAAACCTGCCAGTAGTTTGCACGCTCTTGGTACGATTAATCTAAACCACGACTGCTGGACCTCGAGTTTATTCTGCTTTTTTTTACGTTAGGTTTCAGTTTTCCAGTCCACTCTCGGTCTCGGGCCTCGTGTTGACACTAAACCAGTCGCCGGCCGTCGTAGCAGCGCTGCAGCTCCACAACATTATTTCATTTACACAACCTGATGTTGCACCACGATGACTCAGGGAAAATCTACCGCCATAAAAAACCCAGGCTGGTACACACCAGCATCTGTGTTTAGAAAAGAAAATGGAGCAGATGTTTGGTTGTTGGCTTGGTTGAAACATGTGTGGACGGATGTACGGAGGCTCAGAAGGTCCACATGTAGAAAAGTTTGCATTGTTTCACACTGTTTGGCCTCCGTGATGCAGATTCTTATGAAGTGAAAGTGTTCTCATGAAATGTGAAACTTAAAATTTCCCCGATCGTGTAGAACATGACGTGTTTGTGTAGAAGGTTCTGTGCTTTCATTCTGTAGCCGTGTTGAACTGTAGAGGCAGTGGACTCCAAACTGGGACTCACGACCTCCACAGCTGCTAAAACCATGAAAAAAAATCAGGCTAAAGGAGGAGAAACGGAGGTTTTTCTGCTTTACATTTGTTGTGCTTCACTAAATGACTCGTCAGAACTCTACAGTCCATTTAAATTTTACGACTTTGTTCGTCGTTCCATCTGAACTCACCAGGAACCTTCTGCTCAACCACCTTTGATTTACTTGAAACTTAATTATCTTTATTCTAATATGAACATATTGCCTTTATTTTGAAACTCCAGAGCTCTGCCTGGATCAAACTGTCGACTAATGTTTTAGTTTTTGTGCCACAACTCATTAAACCTGCTCAATCAGTTATAAAAGTTCAACTAAATGAACTTTATTTTAATTTTTCTGACCAAGTATTTCACATTGAAACTATTCTACATGTTTAGTTTAGTTTTATTGTGACCTGCAGCTACATGTGGTTCACAAAACATCACTAGTTGACTTCTGGATCATCAATTCTTTGGTTAATTTGAGCTCAAAGGTGGAACTTTTCATGACGACTTCAATTTTTTTTTTTCATATTTCAACTCCCCGATAATCAGACATTATTTGATCTACTCGTCTGGTATTCCAAATTCTGAATCAATGATATGATGATAAATAACAGAGAAAGTTTCAGGGTTTTATCTTTAACAGTTCCTCAGATGTTGTCGTTCAAACGGCCTTAAATTGAAATAAGCAAAAAAAAAATGTGCTGAAAACCAGACGATGAGCGAGTTTTTTTTTTTTTTTTGTACAAAATCTCGGAAAGTATTTGATATACGAAGCTCAAATTTCACAAATATCTTTATAGATGTCCGTATTTAATGCTATAAAAAACGAAGGCAAGTCAGAGACGGCCGAGCAGAAATTTGATGAATGTCGACGGAGGGACACTCAGGCCGCTGGGATTTGGATTAAATGTGGAAAACTTCTGAAATGGCTCCAAAAAGTAGTTTTTCCTTGAAGATGCCACACCCAGTGTAACCTCTGGGCGTCCATGTGGTGACGGTTTTTTGTTAAGGAAGAGAACTTTCTGCAACTTTCTGCTGCTGTTGTACGAAGCTTCATCCTTGTTCAACAAACTATTGACTAAAGCAGCGCTGCAGACGATATTGTTCAGATTTAAATGTTTCAGCCGTCAGTCAAAAGCAGCCACAAACGCCTCTTATTTGACAGAAGTTAAACGTCTGAGAGCTTTTGCATTACGAGCAGCAACGTGAGCCTGCCAGACTTGACTCGGGGCTCAGAGTCCGCCCTGGTCTGCTGTCGTGTCTGCAGGCCTCGATGTTTTTCCATAAACAAGCAAAGAACTTCTTCCTCTGCACACAAAGGAGCTTTGAATCCTTTTGATTAGGGAAATGTCCGCCTCCGATGGAAATGTGCAACCTTGAGGTCACAGATGGAGAATTTGAATCGAGATGCGAGATTCAAATGGACCAAATGGCTTATTTAAGGCCGAAGCTGTTTTAAATGAGTCCTCCTCCGTCCGGGAGGCGTTGCAGCTTTTATCTACCGATCCGAAGCTTCCATTTCCTGTCTGTTGGTTGTATTTACAGCTCTTCTTCTTCTTCCCTGTCTTCTAGTTGTTGTAGTCGTTGGTGCATTAACGCCGTCGACTGGTTAATAATTTGGGAGAAATGTCGTCTCATTTTAGGTGTTTCCAGCCAAAATGTTGTTAAATGTATTAAAAATAATAATAAAAAAGCTGAAATCTGGCAGCAATTGTTCCATAAAAAATGGTGGAATACTGTAATGTTCAAAAACTGAATAAAATAACATGAAAGTAAACACACAGATAAATAATAATAATAATTAAAACGCATAATAGTGTAAAATAGTAATTTTACGAAACTGTCACAAAGCTGATAAACGATTTGTAAAAAATTATTGTTTACATTTAAGTGAATGCTTTTTGTCTTATTTTACTGGATAATATCTGTCAGTTAACAAGACTGGGTTGAAATTATTATTTACTTTTTTTTTTAGTGGATCTTTTTTAAAAAGACAACAATAAAAATCTGTATTTTTTTATGAATTTCAAATACAGTAAAAAAATATAATTTTACAGTCAACAATTATAAAATAACAAATTATCATTAATAAAAATACAGATTTTTGATGTGAATGTTAATTAAATAGTTTTTAAAGACTTAACGTGTAAATTAATGCTATTTTTTTTCTATTATTTCAGGAGTTATTTTCTATAATTTAACCAAACTGGACCATTTTTTTAAAATTTTAATTGGCTCTTTATAAGCAGCTGATAAGTTTAAACCTCACTGTGTAGTTTTTATACCACGTAGACCTCCGAGTTCTACTTTACTTCACCAGAATTTTCTTCCTACAGTTAAAGCTAAGACTTAGAACTGGGGTGTCGACATCCGGTCCTCGAGGACCAGGATTGGACACCCCTGACTTAGAAGAAGCTGCGTCGTCGTCTTCAGACTGAAACTTGGAACCTGAAATCTTTATTTATGACTTTTGTCGTGCCTGAGAAACATCTCACGTCGCCGTAAGTAACTCTGAGCACAGAAGAGTTCAGCTGCTCTAAACTAAAAACATCCTTATGAGACTGTAAACACTCGATGGCTTTACTTCCACAGTTACCGGACTGAGGTACGACATGTCTCAGCTGATCATTAGATTTATTTAGCTTGAAGCTTCTGCACAAACTGTTGACCCGACGTTTGAGCTCAGTCCAGGTTTCGGTCATAACAAAAACAGAAATCAGCATAAACAAAAATCAACATAAGCAAATCGGGAGTCAAATGTGGCTCGACTGGATGATTTCAGAGCTCGCTCTTGTTGTTTTGAGGCCTTGGCGGTTCCACTGGTGACTTCAGAACGTCGCTCCTGCTGCTGCAGCGTCTCTGTGGACCGACTGACTGGAGGTGTTAGCGGATTCATCGTCTGGACTCCAGCTGTGTGGAAGTACAGAAGACAGTCGGCTCATTAACCTTCATTACTCTCCATTAACGGCCGTTTAACAGACACAGAGCAAAGCAACGGCAGGTTAGAATTCTGATTTATAAACCAGTGAATATAACTGCTAGTTATTGCTTTTTTGTGCAGGTTAAATAAATATAAGGAGCTTAAAGAATACAGG